ATATTTCACCCTCTTAGATGGACAATTTTGAGAAAGCGAAGGGTATTGTGGTCCTTTCAAAAATTCAAATGTCACATTAAACCTTTACTTCATCAGCCACAGTTTTCATATCTATGCCCCATAAGCCTTGTTTTCAAATCCCTTGCGTCACTGTCCCAATTGAATTGTGACCCCTACCACCACCACCACCACCCAATCCCTCATTCTGGCCTATGATCTTATGTTTGACCCTAGCGGCTCCAAAGTTTAGCATCACAATTTCCTAATTATCTAACTTTATGAGAATTTTATAATGACCGTGGACCGTTCAATAGAAAGATATTGATAATTGGATTGGGTTTAGAACTCGGACTTAATTAGGTCGTTCATGGTGGCATGACCCGATTAGAAGAGATTCAAATAAAATAATAAATTATATTTTAAGATATGAGATAATCATGATATGATAATTTTCAATATATTAGATGATAATTATACGCTCTCTCTTCTTATAAATCATTTTTATAATCTTGATCCAAATATTATACGTTCTCTCTTCCTATACACTATTCCACTTTTGTACAGTTAATAGTGTGGATAGTTCTCTAGTGATTCTACTCTGCTGCTAAAAATTATTCGAAGACATTAATGGAGGCACGTGATTCACTCACATAATCCTTGAATTCAGTTTGAGCTCAAAAGGTATGTTCGAATTCGTTTATTTCCACTATATGTTATTTCTTATTTTTCCTACAAAAGGAATTATATACTTATATGACTCTAACAAATAAGAATACGGAAAAATTACAGACTATTATTGATTAAATACACCATCACTAAATATTTTTAAAAGACTTGATAATTTTTGCATTATCATAATTTAACGATGTCAATATTTCTCCTCATTATGCATAATCAATAATTGTACACGTATAGAATTAATCACCAAACATAGACGGAGTTTGCATTTACATACCCCATGCCTTTGCGGGGATAAATTCTATATAGGACTGTAAAGAGTCAAATTGAGTAGTAGATTTTTTTAATTTTATTTAAAATTTTAATAAATTTAAAATTTGTTTAAAGTCAAACAGAAATCAAGTTCAAGTCAATAAATTTTATTTTATCAATTTAATTCTATGATTAATTCTATATCCGTGTAATAAAATATTATGTAGGATCCTCTATGGCTATAAAATTCAAAGGGACATAAAGGTGTCATCATCATAATCTCATACACATTTTGAACAACAACATACATGGACCAACCATTTCCATATATAAAATAGCCATCTAATGCCACCACCTTGCCTTTTATATTCTCTCGTTGTCTCGAACACACTTTCTTCAAAACATGAATCCTTTTCATCTCATCCTCCTCTTTGTTGCTTCTCTCCTCTTCTTCTCTCCAACAAGTCTTTCCCTCCGGACAGCCTTTCCCGCCCCCTCTGCCGAAAAACAAGTTTTCCGACCTTTGTTCAGCTCTCCGGTGGTCAGAGGTTTCGAGTCAGAGAAGCGAAAGGTTCCTACGGGTTCAAATCCACTACACAACAAGCGACGATGAGTTTGCGTTCAGATTTTCTGTTTTTGTTGCTTTGATTCTATTATTATATGACATGTTAAAGCTAAGAAGATAGATATACCTAGTCATATATGTGTAGTTGTGTTTTAATTTAGAACATTGGTGATTCAGAATTTATTTCTTTGTGAAATGAGTTTTGAATCACCAATATGTACAGAAGATACAGATCAAGATTGTAGTAGATTTACTGGAACTTTTGAGTTAGATTTTTACTATATATATATATATTTATTTATTTGTCTGTTTGTTTGATTGTTGTAGAATTTGTAGCGTTTAGTGCATTAGTGGATTTGTAGACCATGTAAAAGATGATGAAATTATTTGTATGATTTTGTGTAATATAAAGTTCAATGCAATTCACCCAAAAAAAAAAAAGTTCAATGCACAACTTGGGTGACCCTAGTTTTTTTTTTCTGTTTTCTTTCTTTTTTTGGGTTGGCAAGAAAGATTCAGAAAGACACAAGAAAGAATGGATTTGGTTTTTTTTGGAATTCCAATTGCTGCAGTTATATGAATCCAAATTCTATTATTATTTTCCTGGGTCTTTCACGGAAACCGAAAGAAGAAAAGTCTTGAATCATTTTCATGATGTTGAATGCTTTCTTTTCTCAATCTCAGGTTAGATGTTAAAATCAAACTAGTACAAGAAAATCACATGGGCAAAGTTAGCTACTACTCTAGTAATGTTATGTAGATAGAAAAATATTCTGAATTTAATTCAATGGCATGAAATTTAAATTTTGAGAATTTTTTAATTAATATATATTTTTTATAGCATCTCTGAGTACTCAGATACTAACTATATTAATCTTCACGGGCCCATTTTTAATAAATAGGTGTTGTAAATACCCATAATTTCATTCAACAACCATCTGCACAGAAAAGAATGTGTTGGATTTTTTGAGCTCGCTCATTCTCTCTCAAATAAACGGAGGATATGCGAAAAAAACAAGTGGGTTTTTTTCGTTGTGTTGGCTCTTTCATCTAAATATAGAATTGCTTTGATTGTTCTTTACTACGACTACAAGCATTAAAAGAGGACTCTCTCTCTCTCTTCCATGTTTTGTTGTATTATTGGAGTGCCAAACGAGGCCTTGATTGTCATTCAAACAACAGTGTGATTGCATTGCACAAACAAACTGCGGTTGTAGCACCACTTTGCCTTTTTTATGTATTGCACTTATTAATTGAATGAATTATTACAAAGTTGAACAAATGACCTCGATTGTTTTCGGGTCAATAACACACGGTTGCCCCACGCACCATTAACAACATGTGAAAACCTGTCAAGGGCATTACTCTCTTAAAATTTATTTTTAATTAGTTTTTATTTTATTTTTTTAAAGTTGCTATTTTTTGCCCACATTTAGTTCTAAGTTCACCTACCAAATTTAATATATCTTTTTATTGTAGTTTAGTTTCAACACTGAGTACAATTATCATCAAGGAACAGACTGAAAATTTTATAAAAATAAAAAATAAATGAAAAAAGTGCACCAAACTCGCTCCTAGTAGGCCGGTAAAATAAAATAAAGAAAAAAAATTAGTGAAACATCCTTTTCTAATTTTGGGTAGTAGAAGAGATTTAATATGTATTTTTTTATTACTTAAGGTCTCTTGATAAAATTTTTCTGTGATCATACTAGAGAAATTTTAAAATTTCTTTGTGTCAGGGCGAAATTTTTCTATGTCAAATTTTCTTTGTGAAAATGTAGAAGAACCCTAACTATTATAAAATATTATATGTCATTTATCTTATAAAATCTTAATATTAGGAATCTTAAAATAAATTTTTCAATAATAAAATAACACCCCTTTGAGCATGATTCATTAGTTAAAAGAACAAGTTTCAACCAAAGTTTTAGAATTGTTTAGGGCATCTTTGGTAACTATTCGTTTTCAATTTATATTTACAAAATTTTTAAAAATTATCATAAAAATTTGTTTGATAATTTTTTTAGTTTATAAATGGTTGTCTCAGTTTATAAATTTGAGAAAAAAAATATAAACTCAAAAAATGAGTTTACAATAATTTTTAAATAGAAATTTAAAAACCTGACTAACAAATTATTTTTTTTCAAATAATTATTTTTTTCAATTAATTTTGTTTTTAATTTTTTTTTCAATTAAATCTTTTTTTCCAATTATAATGTGTATGATCCCATTGTCATAAATAATAAAAAAATAAATATAAATATTTTAGGCCTAAACAAATATATTTTTTAGTTTATGTTTTTAAAATTTTTCAAACATTTTGTTCAAATCAAATGCGTTTGTAACATAAACTAAAAACGTAAATATTATCAACGCTACCTTAGTAATCGAATCAATCTCAAGCTCAGCTACAATAGACTTGTTAGCACAATTATATATAAATTTATATTTTTTTAAAATATTTTTTTTCACAGACGCACCCTAAAAGAACATATATATTTGTATTATTAGGTAACGATTACTTGGGTAGCCCATAACATATGTATCTCTACCTATATACTTTTGAGAGATTTTTGTTACAGTGTTACCAAAATAAATTAACTAATCTTAGAAATGTTATAACTCATGCTTTCTGTATCTGTTGGCAGAATAATATTAAGAATTATAAAAAAAATATCATGAAATGCATCATGAAGATTTTTATCTTTTAATTAATGTGGTGTTTTATCACTACAAGAATTCACACTTTTGGCAACAAAAAAATTGGTCGCTAAAAGTCTATTTTTGGTCGGCAAAAGTTATCCGCGACCAATTTTTTTGGTCGTAACTTTGGTCGCCAATTGAGGGTCGGCAAAAGTAATTCGCGACCAAAATTTTGGTTGGTCGGCAAAAATTAGATTTGCCGACTAAATTTTTGGTCGCTAAATATTTAATTACCGCGACTAATTCATTTTGTCGCTAAAACACTTTGGTCGCGAAAAGTGATATTTTCCCGACCAAATATCTTAGTCGCCAATTGACACATTTCGCGACCAAAAAGTTTGGTCGCCAATTGTAACATTCCACGACCAAAAAATTTGGTCGCCATTTGTTATTTTTCGCGACCAAAACTTTTGGTCGGCAAAATTGAGATTCCACGACCAAGAGCTGTTTTGGTCGGCAATAGATGTATTTTTTGCGACCAAACTCTTGGTCGGCAATTGTCATTTTTCGCAAAAAAAAATTATTTTTTTGTCCCGACTAATAAATTGATCGCCAAAAGCAAGAAAACAATACACCTGTAATTCCTAATAATTCATTCAATCCATAATAAACGTATAATTTTAAAGCATCATCCATGATGTGAATGACACAATGATTCATCACATCCCTGTAATCTTTGAAATATTTGATAGAAAACAATGCACAATTATCTATTAATAACATTTCTATTCACATTCATCACAGATCAGCTGCATGCCTGCATCACCATCTTCTTTGCCATCTTTAAAACACAAACTAGAAGTACTCAAGTGCTAAATATTGATACAATATAAAATAAACTTTCTACATATACATATGAGAAGGTACCATAGAAACATTGCAAATTCCAAATTCAAGATGTTATGCAAACACCTTGACTAAAATACAAATAACCCAAAAAACTATTAGGCTGTGAATAAGCTAAATATGTTTCTAAGCAACTGCAACTTCCTCCTGATAAGAGTCCGTTTGTGCTTTACTACAAGATTCCAGAGTATCCCGTGCTGATTCGATGACAACCTGCCCATTGACATAGTGCTGGCGGCAGACAGGCATATAGACATCAGAACCACCAATTAGCTCAGTCTTTGTCTCATTAGTCTTCCTTAAGGTAAAAAAAACCCGCTTGCCACAAAGCTCGCACCGAGCTGTCAGTTTGGTTATGGAATCCGCAAGGGGTATTATGTCAACAACTGAGCCAAAGGTCCTTCTTCAATAAACATTTTGATTTCACATTAAAAAAATATATATATATATTAACATGGAAAAAAAAAACAAAAAATAATGCAGCATCAAAATTGAGTAGTAGGCAATGAACTCTGCAACAGATGTAAGCTTACCTCAAGTAAACCCCATCCAGGCCAGCAACTATAACAATTTTCCCATAACAATCAGCAGCCTTGCAGCAGAAATCATAAAGGTCATCAAAGAATTGAGCTTCATCAATGCCAATCACATCCACCTGTCAGCACATACCACAAATTAGAAGATGAAAAAATCACTGTAAATACCGAACTTAGAACATAATTCATTCAATCCATAATAAACCTATAATTTTAAAGTATCATTCAAATCAACTGAATCATTAACATCAAAGTTCTGATGGCAACAAATCGACCAGACACTCTAAACCCTTCTGTTACTAGTGGATCCGTGGCTGGTGCTATTTGATTATATAGTCCATCAAATGTATCATCATGACAGTTTGAGATTTGCAATAGCTTTGTTGTGCTGAAAAAAAAAAAATGAAAGCTGGTGTATTTTAAAAGATAATTACCTGGTGTATTTTAAAAGATATCTCAGTTAAAACCACCAAATCTGAAGCTGAGAAAGCAACTAATATCATAAATTTAAGTCTTAGGATTGGGGGATTAGCCTCGATACATCTCTGCCAAGACTGAAAGTTTGAATATTAATCTAACCAACTTAATCACATACAACTGGAATCAGATAGAGGACCTGAAAGATCAAGCTATTTTAATCATCTGATGGAGATGCAAGAATTTTGGTGAAATAACTATGCCACATCCTTTACTTTAGCTTTTACACAAGCATCTGTGTGCAGTTTTTCAAACAGGTAATTTAGCAATTTTTACTTTTAAAAGATTAAACTATCCCAATTATACTCAACAAAGATACAGGTTTACATTTAACATATTTCTGATAGAACACAATCAAATGCATCATCCAAACATCTAAGCGACTAGTGAACAACTCATTCTTACCTATGTATTATGCATTTTGTTGCACTTGTCGGTGTATTTGCATAATCCAGTCCACATAACCATTCATACCACCAACTTGGTCCTCAACTAGGTTTGTAAGGAGAAAGAAACCTTCTCTTGGTTGTTCACTGTGTCTTACAAGGTGACACAGCTGATAATATGCAGGATCTTCCTCCCTTAATTTCTTCAATATCCTCATCAGCTTTCTTGGCATTTCAGTATCACGCTCACACAGATTAACCTGATTTTCAAGATTTAACCCCTTAAACAAAGATTAATGCCCAAGCAACTTGAGGCCACTATAGATGAATTTAAAAAAGAAAAAGAAATCAGTCACACTGCAGTCACTATTACCTCCCCAAGGCCAAGTCCAACCACATGTTTGGTTATTTACCTAACAGTCACACTACTGCAGAGAGAATAAACAGCAAAGAAATCAGCCTCTTGTTCTTTTTTGCTATGATATTAATAACCAAGAGAGTAACTTGATAAGATTCTTACAACATTTTTTTCTTCTCCAAATCGCCAAATTACAGAAGATCTCAAGCTAAAAGAAAAATAGACATTGGAACAAAGTATGAGTGAGTATGCAATACAATAAAAACCAACCATGTTCATCCTGTTCAGTAAAGCATTAATAGAAATGATATTCCCATTCTCTTTTAAACTTTTCACTCTATTTTTTGTCTTTTGGCCTCTCACAAGTGGAGTGTGAATATCATTGCTCTACCTTATATCCAATAAAAAAAATCAAATATTGTATATCTAACAATCATGAATACTGTCAAGAATATAGCTATCCAGAATAAATACACCTCAAACATATGACCCTTTTTTTATTTGATTGGCAATCTTCATACTTCCCATTTTCAAAAATTTCAACGATTATACTTTCTGAAATTTGATATTTTGTTAACCATCTCATCAAAATCAAATTTTGATATGAACCACAAATCCAAAATAACATTTGAATTCTGAACTGAAACAGGATATAAACTCCCAAGCATGAATTGTATCAAAATATACTAGTGACAAGCATAAAGCATATTATATGGACTGCAGAAATAACAAGATTAAATAGAATAAACTTTAGGCCACCAAAGGGTGTCCTTTCCCCTTTTTTTGATGGACCATGATCTAGGTAACTCAACAAAAAATAAAAAATAAACCAAGAGTTGAATGACCAATGTTAGAAACCACTAAACACTTTAAGATGCAGAATGAACTTTATAAGATAATCTCTTGTAGCTTCACAAAATAAAAAGCCAGATCATCTACATATAGTTGGTTGCTATTGTATAAACAAAAGGAAAAATGAATACAGCATCAGGGGAGGTCAGTTACAGCATATAAGAAAAGCAGCAGGAAAAAAAAAGCCTTCTAAGTATCGCTAGATGTACTTCACAAATTTATAAGAGTCCATGTAGCATACAAAGCAACTACAGTCTATGTGGCATAAAATAACCTGAAGAAGAAAGGAATAAAACAAAGGAGAAAAAGGGAACACAATTCAAACTACTATAGTAGTATCCTAATTCATTACACCAAAGCCACATATACAGGCAAACCAAACTAATCCTATAAAGAAACAAAATCCTAAACAAATTCAACTTCATATATAAATTAAACTCCTAAATCAACTAATTTTCTTAATCTTCAACCATCTCTTTTATAATTCCTTTACGTTCCCCATCACCTAGTACACGACAAGGACACCCTATTTTTGCTTTTTTTCTTCATGTTAAAAGCACAAATATGCTCCATGTTTGACAGCCAATCTTAACTCAAGTCATAAAGCTTTTAATTTTGGCATCACCACATCAGAGGCTCTGATAAATGCAGGAAAATGAGATCCAGAATAATATTCTTTTAAATAAATCACAACTAATGAAGACATGCAGATTATAATATAAAAAATGTGCATGAAGTATACAATATTTTGAAATATTAGATATATGATGTAGATTTTGGGAATGAAAAAAAAATACTGTCGAAAAAAAATACAAAACAAAGAAGTGATGGTGCCAGTATCAGCTTGCCGATACATCTCTCCTAGATCTGCAACCACTGGTGCTGCAGCAGTATGCACTCTAATACGCCTCTCTCCAGAAGATGAAGTGTATCTGTTGATGATTAAGGAAAGTCATTTGTAATCTAGTCCTACATGAGCAAATGGGTGGTCATGACCATCCTACATGAGCAAATGGCTTAGCAATGAGGGCAGCCGGCCTTTGATTCAGATTTGTTTCACAAGTGAAGATAAAATTTCGCCTCATATTGTCCATTAGCATATTTTTTCCCTCGTCATTTTCTTTTTATAAGTACAGCATTGAAGATACCTAACTACAATAAGAAAAGTGATAAATAACATTAGTTAGAAGAAATCGAGGGTGCAAGAGAGATTAAAGATTGGAACAATTTATATAATGTAAAGACCAAGACAAACAACAACTGAGTACTAATTAAATAGTGACAACTAATGTTGCTGCTTACTTTTTCGGCATAGCCTTCTCATCAGATTTATAACTCCATTCTATTCCCTTAAGTGCAGCCTTCTCAAGAGGATCACCGACCTACAAGCAACAATGAATGATATAGTAACTAAAGCATAAGGCAGTTCAGTACAAAAAAGTTCCAATTAGAGATCTGAAATATGAAATTCTCAGTGCTCAATAAACTTTTAACAAGGATTCTATATGTATTAGGTAGCTGCCTCTAAGCACAAGGCAGTTTAGTACCAAAAAGTTACAATTAGACAAGACTGGTTTGCTCATGATGTAGAGAATGCAATAAAAGATAGTGTTCAGTCCTGCTCTAGAGTAGCGCGAGTCATAATTTTGATAGAGGCTCCACTGTTTAGAAAGGCTCTTTTGAACTCGACCCCATTAATAAAAAACAGTCACATAAAGTGGGCGGTTGTGAGAAAAGGGATACTTCCGATCAGTCTCGAAGAAAGTAATGGCGCTAGATTGCTCTTTTGCCTTTCTCGGGATAGATCCCTTAGTCGACATGCATTCCTTATTCTTCTTCTTCTTCATGCATTTGTGAGGTAGGTTGACAGCAACGATTAGTAGCACCAGATCTTCGCAATTAATAGTCTTACAGATAACGTCAACTTCTCTATCAATCGAATTAGCCCGTTGGTTAACTTTTGGCATATTAGCAAGCCCAAAACACAAATAAATAAAGTTTAGAAAAAAAAAAGGGCAAGTTCTCCAATATTATCCTTTCAAACAAAGATTAAATCACAATTATTATTGATCTCCAAAAAACTATTTAAAAATGAGTTTGAAAAAGGAAAATAATGGTTGGATGAGCTAAAATCTTTGTTAATAATATAACAAATAATAGTATTACCATTGGCAATGGTCTAATAAAGAACAAATAAAATTTGGGTTATGATCAATGAAAAGAAATAGGTTGGCCTTTTCTTTAACTACCTGGCCAACATGCTCTACTTCAACCTTGTCTCTCCCAACAAAAATTCAATTCTCAATTATTTGTCAGCTAACATATTGGAGATTTAGATAAAGCAATCACTACAATGTACAAATTACCTGCAAAGCACAAATCTATCAATAAATTACAATCATCATATTTCTCTATATCATATTATATATATATATATATATATATTGTCAATTAGATTGACATATCAAATGATAAGATAAGATGGTTAAAGTAGATAGTCATTGCAATATTACTCCAAATTTATTCTCTTCAACATGCCCACTCATGTGTGACTAGACTCTCTCCAAACACGTTTACAATATTATATTTTTTAATTTTTTTTTGTAGGAGGTGAGATTCAAAGTTCTCCAATAGAGCTTCCTTGCCCCCTATGGGACCATTAATTCCATATCAAAGCCAGCCCTATTCTCCTACAACTTAAAAGGGATATCTCTCTCGTCTTGTGGGTTTTCAAAAGACTATTGATTAATTGTCGCTCTTTTGTCTCTTGTTCTGGTTCATGGTTCCTCAAGCCAACCCCCAAAAATCTAAACACAAATATCAATATCAACTAACAATCAGCACATACAAGTATCAATAGTACTTTATTACTTTCGCTACCAAGTCATCTCGGTGTATAATAATTAAGATCCAATCAATTAACATAACATGAAAGTACCAAATATCAGCAATCATTTCTTATCCGTAGCCTACACCAAAAACTCACAAAGATAATTTCCCTAACAATGCAAGCTTGCGTATTCAAAGATTAGAAATTACCTTCACAAAGAGCAAGCTTAACCTTCCTTCCCTTGCAATGTTTGAAAGCAAAAAGCTCGTATATATCAATCTCTGCTATGTGATTCATGGAACCTATATGTGACTGTGAATCTTAAATGCATCCCCATTATCACATTAAAATGCTTATGAAATCTAAAGAACAAATCATGAATGTTCATGGAATATTTTTTTTCTTGTTTAATTGGTAGAAAAATATGAAAAGAATTACATTCGGAATTATAGTCCAATAGTTGTAAAAACTCTAAAAACCAATCTAATAACTAACCAAGTTAAGAAAGAACACCATAATGGGGATATAATAAACAATACAACAAAGACTATCATAATTATTAAATTTAACATTAAATATTGCATAATTAAATTAAATATGATACGATGAGATATAATACAATACAGGAAATGGATTGTCTACTCTTAACAAATAAAGATAAGCTTTTTAATTCTAAATTAAATAATTCAAAATGAATCAAATCTTTCCCAAGGTAGATACATTTGATCTTCATTTAGAAAAAAAATAAAATTAGTAATCTTATTATTAAGTATAAAGCTTTTCCCACGCTCTATTTATATGCAACATATACAAATTTTTCCTACCAAATTTTCATCTAATCACCAAGAGAAAACAAGCAAAAAAAAAAGTGACTAAGGAGAGAAAATTTGAAGACCTTCAATCACTTGACATCTAAGAAGCACGGACACTTCTAAGAAGGTAACGTATCCGTGTCGTATCCGTGTCGGACACCGACACTCTTTGGACACTTTCCCGACACGTGTCCGACACTCTTTAAAACGTGTCCCATTTTTTAAAGACCCGGACACTCTTTGGACACTTGGAGAATACATGTGTATCTCTTAAACACACGTGTCTATCAATTAGACACATGTGAAACCAATTATAAATTTGAACAAAACAACTTAAGATACAATAATAAAACAAAAATCATATAAATTCATAAGAATTATTGTCATATTTAATATTTTTATTATCTTTGAATGATATATTCATATATATAACATATAATAAATATATAAAATTATATATTTCATGCGTGTCCCCCGCGTGTCGTGTCCTGCAATTTTTGAAAATTAGCGTGTCGGCGTGTCCATGTCGTATCCGTGTCGTGTCACGTGTCCGTGTCCATGCTTCTTAGCTTGACATGCACCATCAAGATCTTGAAATGTCAATGAAGTGCAGATAATGTGAGAAAACCATCCCTTTTAAGAATCTCTATAGGACATGCAGATTAAAGATCTTGAATCCCTTTTGAGAAAACCATCAAGATCTTGAATTCTCTGATTCATCAAGGACATGAATCTCTTAAGCCAAGGAGGTTACTCTATAGCATATTAAGATACTGAATTAATATGTTCCTGATACCAAAATGAGCTTTTGCCCAAAGTTGTGATAGAAGGATGCTAGATGAATATTAATGCTGTTAGGGGCTCTGGTTATGTCTTGTAATAAACTGACAAAAGGAAAGAAAACGTTGAATAGAACAAGAATGCCAATCTTTTTTTGGTTCTTCAGTTGCATCCAATGAAAAATTATGATTCAAATGATAGTTCCTTTACCATCTGACATTTACCAATAATCACGGTGAGGTAAGAGTATTCTAGTTGAAAAAATTTAAAACAAAAAAAAAAAAAAAAATTCCAACAGTTATTCAAATATGCATTTTGTTATTACTATGATATACATATTTTATTAACTACATATGCATCCACACAAAAAACCAACATAAAATTGAAACATCTTATAAATCCTTCCTTTTGTGATGTAGGATGACATGACATTGACATACAATGAGAAGAAGAAACCCAGATGCAAATCCTACTCAGTTCCAATTCATTGTTGAAGGCGAGAAATGATGATTATGGATTTCTAAAAATCGACCAACCAATAAAATAAACCCAACTTAAGAAGTTCAAATCACAAGATCAACCATTAAAAAATAAAAATAAAAATAAAAATCAGAAACCCATATTTAGTTGCTCAGGGAAAAAATGTAGAAAACACAACATATATTATAGTATTGGCGGCACAGAT